TAGATGAAATGTCGTTACACCGTTTGGTTGTAGACTAGATGAAATGTCGTCACACCGTTGAGCGGGCATCAAGCGCAGCAGAGTTAACTCCACCCACTCTCTTTACATAGCTCGGAACAACTCAGTTCAAACGTATTATATAGTTGTCTTATAACAAGTTTTCATACGAGAAATATATTTAGTCGTCACGCAATGACATCGTCTATTCCTATCCATTAATATCCAAAATAATACAAAGAAAATTTCTGCGTGAGCAATCACATTAAGACCCATTTAATCCACTCCTTGATAGGTAAAATTCTTACAGGGTTTTACTTATCTGAATAAATTCTCTCTCTCCTCAGAGAAATTTGGTTAACAGACTTACTGATAACTCTTTAGAAAAATTTATTTTTATTGCCAGAAAATCAGTCGTTTTATTGAGCTTTAGGGAAAAACTACAGGGGGAATAAGTGTTGATGTTGTGAACAAAACAGATGCTTTAAAACAAAGATTTTTAAGGAATCGCAAGATTTAGAGTTTTGACGGGATTCATAAGACTCAAAATCTTATGCTTTTCTTAACCTCTGAACTCAAACTTAAAAAAACAACAAAAAACTTATATTAAAACTGTTTTTTCCAAATTTACAGAATTTTGTTTTTACTCGATCGTACTATTTAAATGATACTGTAATCTTTGGTGATATTGTATCTCCCTTGTTTGTCTGTTTTCCTTTAGTGCAATAAAAACCACTGTCGTAGTCTCTAATTTTAACACAATATCGAAAAATGTTCAAGAGAACATTTTTAACTGAAGAATAGAGAATGCTTGAAAGTTCACTTTTTCTTGAACATAAAATTAATGTACACTATGACGACGGAACAAAGACAGTGTTTACTACATTGACAAAACATAAAACAATGTACATTATGTCGATAGAAAATAAGAAAATGCACATAGTGTAAACAGAACATTAGGTAATGTATACTGTATCTAAATAACACGACACAATGAATACTAATTCACACAATGTATATTGTTTTATGTTCTGTCGTCTCTTGTCTTGCGACATAATGTGCATTGTTTTATATACAGTCGACACAATGTACATTGTTTTATGTTCTGTCGACGTAGTGTACATTGTCTAATGTTCTGTCAACACAATGTACATTGTCTCTTGTCTTGCGACATAATGTGCATTGTTTTATATACAGTCGGATGTACATTGTGTTGACAGAACATTAGACAATGTACACTACGTCGACAAAACAATATACGATGTGTTGGCAGAACATTAGACAATGTACACTACGTCGACAGAACATAAAACAATATACATTGTGTTGGCAGAACAATGCGTGTGTGACCAGTGCACAATACAGTCTGTATAGAAAACACAGACTGTGCACACAGTGTGAGAAGAGCACATGTTAAATAAAAATACATTTTATGAGCACAAGACAGTCTGCACTGAGTAAAAGAACACAGACTATGTAGTCAGTGTAAAGAGAACACGAGATATACGTTGTGGAACAACAAGGTAATGTATATTGAGTAAACAAGAACAAAATAATGCATACTTTATAAACAAAAACAAGATAATGGATAATATATTAATATAAGGCAAGATGGTGAATATAATACAAAATAAATTACTCTATATATATATGCAAAAATGCTGATGGTTACACATCCTTCCTCCATTTTTTTCAGCTATTAACCATGAAATATGTGGACGCAAAAATATAAAAATATGATAACGTATTCCAATCATTTTATCCCCTACAAATTTAATGCGACATTTTGACGTCCTATAATCTGGGCCTTCTAATCCGGGCAGATGCTAAGGTCTTCCAGTTACGCTCCTGTACTGTATGAATACAACAAAAGACAGTGTACAACTGTGTGAAAAAACCAAAACAAAGGACAAGGTCCACTGGCTGAAGAGAACATAAAATAGTGTATACTACATGTTTAACAAAGTTTGTGTAGTGTAAAAAGAACACAGACTGTGTGAGCGTGGTCACGCTAAAGCGTTGATACTGTTTTAGACAAATTACATATTACGATCATTCGTTAAACATAGCTAAAACAGTTGCAAAATATGGATATGCGCATGCTCGAGTTTTAATAAGTAAATCGAAAAGAACAACTTGTTTATCAAAACCAAAACAATCTATTTACGTAGAACTTGCATTTTTAATACTGTATAAAACATGTTTTTTTCTTTTCTTTTAGAGGCAGAGTTCAGAATTTCTTTAAAAAAAATGGCTTCAAGAGGCAGTTTCTTGTGACAAATTGTTCTGGCAGAGAGCCTGAGGTGCGTCGTATAGAGAACACCATTTTCTAAGAATTGTTTATATTTGTTCTGACCTAAACTTCCTCGTGTCCGTTTCTTTGTGGCACAAACTGAAGTGAAATGCGACGTCTTGTGGTAAATATTTTAAGAATCTGTATTATATAGATTTTTTTTAAATTCTGGCGAATTTTCCCGTGTTGTTCTTCTTATAAAACTTTAGAAAAAATCTTTACACACAAACAAGTTTTCAACAACAATCGGAGACTCACTTAAATTGATCGGTTACTTGAGAGAAACTTTCATATGATACTTGATTTCTAAGAATCGCTATCTTAAAAGTGCTTTTTTCTCTGATTCCGGAAGACATTTATGTACGTGTGGGTGGATGAAAACCGTTATGCAGTTTGTTTCTAAGGCAAGCCTTCTTACGATGATTTATGTACGTGTGGGTGGATGAAAACCGTTATGCAGTTTGTTTCTAAGGCAAGCCTTCTTACGATGATTTATGTACGTGTGGGTGGATGAAAACCGTTATGCAGTTTGTTTCTAAGGCAAACCTTCCAATTATAGGAAACTTAAATAAAGTTAAGTACTTACGACTCACTACCAAGAGACGAATGTCTGGACATGGACTTCGGAGACATCTCGAACTCGCTGTCCGATCTATACAGGAAAGATTCCCGACGCTGGGGCATAGAATGTAGAACCAGGCCAGTTGAAGGACTAGTAGCGTCCAGGAGATTTCTATTTTGTCCACTTCCATCATCTACGTCAAAACTACAATAAAAAATAATTATTAAACTTCCACTTGCCACTTGTAATTATATTTATAGCCACTAAGTTAACAATTTACGGGATCATGTTTTACTTCAATGAAGCTCACTGTATTCAAGTCAGCCAATACGTTACAGTTTACGGGATCATGTTTTACTTCACTTTACCATTTCACTAAAAATTGAGATTCAATAACCAAAGATCACCTAAGGTATTTAACAATAAAACTGCAGACTTGAATACAAAATAAAATGTGCTGCGGGTAAAACATGCCGGTTATTATAGAGCTGTAGCCGAGGATTCCGATTGGACAAAATATGGTGATGTTGTGTCAATGAGTCTCATTGACAACTAGGCAAACGCAACAATGAATTTCAGTTAATGGTTATGTTTTTGTGTGCCAACAGTACCAAGCGTGGGGCGTGGGGCGCGCGTATACCCAATTCGATTTTATTACTCATCATGACCTCTACCAACCTATCCTCAAATCTAATTACATGTCCAAAGCAGCGAATTATCCGTTTTGCCTCCCAGTGGCACAGCGGCATGTCTGCGGATTAAGACGCTAGAATCGGGGTTTCG